GTATCAAGATAAACATGCGCTGTGTACCTGACATTCCGTCAGCCTCTAGGGCTTCTGGGCTCACTACGGCTGATCCCCCCGGATGACCACTTGGGGCGTTCAAGGACGAAGAGGTGGAGACTGGGGAGATTTGTGCGAGAGACACGGGGTTGGAGGCGTCGAAACTCGATCTGGACATCGGGTCGTCGGGCACCGGAAACTGGGGCGATTGGGGTGGCCAGGGGCTTTTCAGCGCAGCACTCCAAACTGCGCGTGCTGGCCATTAGAGACGGCGCGCTTTGTCTGAGTTTTGGAACTCTTGGTCGCCCATAATTCACGTGTCATCCGACAGCTCGCCCATTTCTCTCCCTAAATTTGGAGTTTATACATTGTTACTTGCTCTACATTGCTTGGGAGAGGACTTTCAACTGGTGTGGACGGCAGGGGCAGTCATAAAAGCTGACACACACTGACTGACAAACATGTCACATCAACAGTGGCAATTGGTTAGGTGCTTCGGAGGTGCCACGGAGGTGCCACGGAGGGGCGGAGTCGGTTCTTACGAAAAGGAACCGCGGAACCATGGTCGAGGAGATGGTTCAATCAGATAGAGATGGTAGAACGGCGAAATGGAAAAGAAGGATATTACGGTGCGAATATAGATAGCGATGAAAGTCGATAAGATGGTGATTAAGGCAGGGATGCTTTGATGAGGAAGGAAAGTTAGGGATGGGAGACGAGGAGCCGAGTGATGACGCTATGAAAGAGGAATAAGATGGAAATGCTGAGAGAGACGACGAAGGCGACGATGACGAAGACGTTGAAGACCTTCACGAATGGGACAGTGACCCCAGGAAGCCCTGAGCTCCGACTCAGGCAGCCAGCTCTGAGGCCCCCTTGACAACATGGACCTTTCGCGAGACGAACTTCATGTACTTTATTCAGACGAGCTTTGCGGGGAGGAAGGCAGCGCGTTGACACATTGCGCGGTTTTATTACATAACGATTTTATCGTTTATGTTCTCGTGTGTTTTCTTTGTAGTGTCGCACCATTGCGGTGTCTTGGTTATTTTCCATGTGTATCCTGTGTCACACGTCGCGAGTGTCTAAATTATGTGTTAGAATTGTTGTATGCGCACAGCATGTGTGTACACCATTTGCAATTAGTAATCAATGTAATGCATCAGTAATTATGAATAGGTTGTAGCGTATCTTACTTCCCAGCCCCAGCACGAGCCCCTGTGTGTAGAGAGCGGTTAAGACACATAGACAAGAGGGAACGAGAAAAGGCGCTGAGTGGTCCTCCCTCAATTTGGCGGTCAATCGGTAGCGGGAAACGTCTCGTACCAAACAATGTAAAAAACTTGCTTTCTTGATGACAGCCCCTTTAGTTAAATACATTGCTTCTACGCGCTTGTGAGCATCCGTGCCCTTGAGAAAGGAAAGATATTGTAGTTCACAACTTGCACGGTCAAGTACACAACGGCATTAAGCAGGTCATTGTAGGCAACTAACAAATTTTTGAGGAAAAAAAAACAGGAATACTAAAGGGCACGGAAACGCCGACACGAACCTAATGAAGTCCGACGACTTCATTCCCACGCGAAAGTGGTAAAATTTGTTGTACTGTTATTTCCAGTGAGAATATCGGTTTGGCAAGTGTATGACAAGAATGACCTCCTTACTATGTACCTGCTGCTTAAACAAAAGCTTCAACTTGGCGACGAATCTTCTCAAAGACGCTGTTTTGCATCAATTCATTGCCAGAAAATCATCAACGGTGAAAAAGAATTGGAAGCGTCTGCCTGAAACGTGTAAATAGAGAGTAGCTGGACATTCGCTCGTTTTGTCTCAGCAGCGTTGCTGTTTAGAACGAGTAAAAAAGATGCAATGAGCCCATGACGCATACTGGTTCTTCTGGTGTGCAACCATATGTGGCCACCTCTGAGGCGAATAAAACCGTCAACTTTTCTGAGAACCACTCTGGCAGATGTGCTAAGACGATTGGACAAAACATAATTCCGTTCAGCAAAGCTTAACGCTTGTGGTAATATAATCGCGTTGACAGCGAGCACGAATGTGGGGAAGTAATAGAGTACTAACCAATGTATTTCCTAATAAACTTACTAAAGCTGCACTACTGATCACTATCTTGTTGTTGTTCGTTTCAGTGCGAATAATTACAATACAAGGTCATTGGCACTGAATAATTATAATAAAGCATTCTGAAAAGTAAGATTAACAGAATATTTCTGCATTGCTTTGCATGCACATAAATGTCTCTCAAGGGCCCCGTGTCCTCACTACAAAGCCTGGTTCTGAGCAGCTGGGTAGAGTGAATTACGAGGCGCTGATATAACGCCCTTGCTAGGGCCCATTTTCGTTTGCGGGTAATATCGTGCGGACACTTTAGCACACATCTTCCTCGATATAGTCAGCATAGTCAAAGTTTTACAGCTCGCAATGGCTGTATTCTTGATCAGCCGACATACGGTTGACAATGACTTCCATGCTCAAACTTTCTGATGTCCCTTCAACGAATTATGTCACACAATTGCAAATATTAGATGCATTCTTCGCAGTCGCGGCAAACGGTAGTGCATGCTTCGTGAGTTACCTCACTTGGGATTACAAGAAAGAAAAGAAAACCACGTTAGATAGAAATGCAATACAAGAAACGCAAGGCTGACTTCACGAATTTTTTGGTGTAGAAAGTGTTCTGTTCCCCTGGATGGCTGCATTCGCTATAGTACATGTCCAATACCATGATTACACCTTAAATGCGCTCTCATCCTAAGGTTGTATGTCTGTTTCTGCCGGTGGCAAGTTGTCTTTTCGTTCACTTCACTTCCTTCACATCTATATCACAATTACTACACTGCACCTAAAAACGGTGCAATCGAGGGTTTCTATACCTTCCTTTGCTTCATTATCTGCTAGTTTCAATTGAGATTGTCTCAAACAAAGAAACTAGCCCCTTAAAATTCAGCTCTTTCTTACAGATATTGTAGCTTAAGCGTATTTTTTTTTTGCGTGTGAATATGGCCGTTTTTATCTACATTTTGTGGCTTCAGCGTCTTCTCTACATTCAATAACCACTGGTTATTGTGGCCTTAATGTCAAAGAAAAAGACATAGTTCGAGATTTAACGTCTTTTTTGTTTGACTTGAGGAAACGTAATGCGCACAAGACTTGCAAATCCAATCACGTAAATATGAAACTATATGAATCACAAATTTTGAGGGCTTACGTGCCAAAACGACGACATTATTATGAGGCCGGATGCAGTGAGAATTGCAGGATGCATTTTGTCCCATCCTAGTTTGATAAACATGCAGCTAAATATATGCACGCCGGTGTTCTTGCTTTCATTTTCACTAAAATGAGGCTGCCGTGGCCGGGGATTGAGCGAGCCCGCATCCTCGAGGCGAGCAGCGTGACACCTTTCGTGCAATAAGCTATCATGGAGGAACTGGAAGTAATAATAATTCTTGGGGTTTCACGTGCCAAAGACACGATACGAATATGATGAACACCGTATAGTAAAGGGACCCAGAAATTTCGACCACTTGGCGTTCCTTAACGCGCACCTAAATCCATTCACTCGGGCCTCCAGTACTTTGCCTCCATCACAATGCGGCCGCCGCGACTGCGATTCGCTCTCGCGCCCTTTGCTTCAGCAGCAAACCGCCATTTAAGCACTTGACCTCCGGGGCTACTAAAAGTTGATACAGCCGCATATTCATTGGGGTCATACAATGAACATGTATACTCTTACGTTTACACCTCACCAATGCTGTTACAATGCTTATGTTAAACTTATATGCATAATTTAATTATTGAGTTGATTGCAGCACATCTTCGCACAGATACATGTAATACAAAAATTCCTTCACTTCTCTTGCTTCAGTCATTACCATTGGACAGTTATGAAAGTTTAAAATATATAAATGTACCTTTCCATGCTATAAATGCACACGTGAAAATGGAAAGAATGTAATAAGAGATTTTTTTTTACTTTGAGAATATAGCAGTGTAGTAAGAAGAGCACAACGTACAGGTATTTTAACGTATTTTCATCACAGTGTGACTTGATAACGCGCGAGTCAACGGACACAGTTGAACCTTGAAGCTGCACCACTTTAGGTTTGTGGAAATAAGAGGTGACAGTCAGTGCGACTTCTGGTTTCAACAGCCTAGTATGTATACTTTCAAAACCCGACAGTACTCTGAACGTCTCCTGCTGAAAAGTCTGTACTGGTGCCGATCTTGCAACATGCATTTCTAGATACAGTGAAACCCGTGTTTTGAGAGACAGACATGTTGCGGGTTAAGTTGGGCAAATGCATCCGCCCCCTGTATTTTAGAAAAGTAACAGAACATCAGCACCTTCAGGTGAATTTAGTTAAAGGCGATGAAGAGAAAGAAAGATGGGCCTGCTGTGGATGTCCACTTCCTCACATGGTTTCCGTGCACAGAAACTGCGTCTTGTGGACAAATAATTCCAAAAGATGCAGCTTCCGTTGGAACACGTCGTACTCCTTTCGGGCACAGTGCCGTACTTGGTTGACATAGGCTTCTGACACCTTGGCCACTAATAGACGAGTAGTCCCGCAACCTGTCAGATGGTTGGCTGCGATTGAAAGGTAGTAGGAGAATCCCTCACCTGGCTCTTGCAGATGAGATTCGCTTGGAACGAGCACCGTCCTGGGTTGCGTGGAAAGGATCCGCACTCGACGATCGCCGGGTCGCACAGTCCAAAGAAAGAGATAGATCGCGATTATTGTCGTGCGAAGAAGTCCAGCACTGGAGAAATGCACGATGCTTGGCCCCGCTTTGGTGTCCTCGCAGTCGAGCACAAATGGCGCGGCGGGGGTGGCGGCTCGGGGCCGGCCAGCTGATGATGGGTGCACTTGGGACGACCGCCGGGCGCGTTGTGGCCGCTGGTACTGTCTGCAACGCTCCTCCTCGGCAGAGCAAATGGAGCCCTTCTCCGGACGCCGCTTCTCTTTAAATCGCACGGGTCAGCTGCGCCGCTTCCCTCTTGAGCAGGGCCGCGTGCTCCTCCTCGGCTTCTTCCTCCTTGCCCACGTCCCCTGTCGGTTGCACTTCGCCGCCGTGCTCTGAGGAGTGATCCCATTCAGAAGTGCGTGGTTGGCCTCGCGCTGGCTGAAGTCATAGTGGTGAAGCAGGGAGAGTTCAGAACTTTTGCCGTGCGGACAAATCCGCGAGTGTGGCCTCGCGGTCGGCTCGGTCCCGTCCATACACCATGCGTGCACTCTTTACGCCAACGTTACTTTTTTTTGTGCTACTTTTGTATACTTTCACATCCTTTACCATGCGTTTGAAGTGTATTTTTTTGATATTTTCGTGAGTTCATTTGCATCTTCTGTACGAACAAATGTCTTGCATTATTAAGGTTTATTGCCTTTTTATCCTTGTGATACTAGTACCATCCTGTACCCGTACACCATGCCCCACGAGAGCTCTATAAATAAATAAATAAATAAATAAATAAATAAATAAATAAATAAATAAATAAGTAAATAAATAAATAAATGAACAAAGAAAAACATTCACTGCTTGATTGAATAAAAATGGCTGGATTTCTAGAAAAATTGCAATGTTTCATTCTGTTGTATACATTCATTTTTTTGTATGTATAGCTCCTATAATTCCCATGTGTACATGGAAGAATGCCGATTTGTCAGGGTTTCTTGAAACAAATATTAATTGCCGACCATCACTACGCGTTGATACAATCAAATAAATACACTTGCCTGCTTTTCATATATGCAGAAGAGCCTCCAGTGCTAAAGGAACGTTTCGAAGGTAGTATTATGCAGTAGAAAGAATACCACCGCCCAGTTTAAAAAGGTTTTCAATTAAAGTCCTCAGGTTATGATGAGGATGGGTTTCAGTTTTTCTTATGAAAAAATGCGAAACAGGATGTTCGTGCGCTATTGATTCCGTTCAGCAATGTCACATGGTGAATGTATTTATTACGTGCTCAGTACATAAACAGCATGCGTTGCACATAAAAAGCCGACACAATGATTACCATAAAAAATCGCACGTTCTTTTATTCCTCATGTACTCAGATTTTGGTGCACATTAAAAAAACCCCAGTGGTCGAAATTTCCGGAGCTCTCCACGACGGCGTCTCTCATAGCCATATGGTGGTTTTGTGACGTTAAACCCCACATATAAATGAATCATCTTTTATGCCTTTGCGTAAGACGACTCGAAGGCGACAGCTATTTTCTCATTCTTTCATCTCACTCGATGTGTTGTTCCTCGCCCGCCCACCTGAGAGCTTCGGCACTTAACGCGGCTCGGCACTGCCTCCGTGATTGGCACAATTTTGACCAAGTGACGATGTCATGTGATGGCGTCCTATTGTGATGTGACGTTAAGTGATGACACAATATGACGTCACTTAACGACGTCAACATGACGTAACTTCGTATTAAATGCGAAGCGTTTCTTAGCGAGCTTCGGCGACTTTGAGCGTCTATATATCTATCTAGCCGCCTACAACCTTTAGCTTTTGTGGCCGTTTCGATAATGGTATCGATACCAAACTTGGCATGGCATAACGTGACTGTATGAAGAACACAAATGACTAGTCATAACATGAAAATCATGACATCTATGTCATGAATGTCATGATTTATATTTCATGGTCCTGCAGCTCTTGCGGTGGTTTTGTTCACATGACATGCTGCAGAACAGGTGTGGTATGACATTATTGTATGGCGAACAGAAGTGACAGACCCTAACATGAAATTCATGACATGCGTGTCATGTAACAACATGAGTACATGCCACGCTCATGATGCGCTCACGGCCGTTTCGCTAGCGTCACATATACCAAATTCGGTATTGCAGTACGTGAATAGATGACGAAGGTATGTGACTAATGCAAACATGATAATGATGAGATGCGTCTCATGTAACAACATGACTACATGTCACGCTCATGATGCGCTGGCGGCCGCTGAGCTAGCTTCACTTATACCAAATTTGGTATTACGGGACGTGAATGAATGTCGAAGGTATGATACTGGTGCAAACATGATAAACATGAGATGCGTGTCATTCAACAACATGACTACATGCTACGCTCATGATGCGCTCGCGGCCATTTCGCTAGCTTCACATGTACCAAACTCGGTATTACATTAGGCGAACGGACGACATAGGTAAATGACACAGCCAAACATGAAAATTACGACATGCCTGTTATGGAACAACATGACTACATGCCACACTTATGATGCAATCGCGGCCATTTCGCTAGCTTCACATATGCCAAACTTTGTATTACGTGACGTCAATGGATGACGAAGGTATGTGACTGGTGCAAACGTGGTAATAATCATATGCGTGTAATGTGAGAACATGACTACATGCCACATTCAAGGTGTCAATACATTTCGACGTGACGCGGTGCGCGTGCTGACTGGCGTTCATTTCGTCACCTCACGTCGGCGTTGCCCCGCCATGCGCCGATCCTGCCAAATACTCGCAGGCGCGCGCTATGGTGGCTAGAAGGAGAGGTGTCAGCATCGTCCCGGCCGCGCCTTGAAAGGAGGCGTGCTGGTATTTCGTTTGGCCGCGGAGCAACGTGCAAGTCGCCACCGTGATCGGTCGAGAGCGCTCGACAGCCGCTAGTGCGGCACTTTTAGTCGTGTGCTCGCAACTTGCAACGTCTGCGCTTTGCCTATTTGGATTTGTTCGGGATCAATACGTGCCGATGTGACCATGCCACAGTGATGGGTAAACAGCAAAGACACTGCTTTGCACCTGGATGCAATGCGGGATATGTTTCGGCCCGCAAACAAAGCAAAGCGTCTCTCTTCTCTGCTCCCTCCGACGATGAATTTATTTTCCAAATACTGTTAGCCTTTCGGCTGTTACAGGGGTGGGACATACTAAGAATGTCAAACATCAATACATTCAAATCATACAGCGATTCAAACAGAAACACTTGAACTTGGAATTGTTACTTGACATACATAGGAAACACCGGCTTTGAAGCTGAAGGAAAAACAGTGCAGTCGTAGTAAGCATACAAATAAATTGTAATAAATTAACATAGTAGACCATGCTTACAGAAAAATATCTTTGAGCCCTTCCTCAAATTCTTCTAATGAATCACAATGAACCAGTGGTAATGGCAAAGCATTCCACTGACGAATTGTTTTTGGAAAAAAATGAATTCGCATATACATTGACACGCTGTTGTGGCACTTCGTATGTGTAATCATTTACATTTCTCAGGTTTCTTGCGCGGCGTGGCGTTAAGTATTTTGTTGTGTTTATGTTTAATTTATTTTTGACAATAAAAACAAGAACTTCATCCTTGCCAATTGCCGTCGTTCAGCTAAAGTGGGCAGTTGAAGAGAGCGTAGCATTTCTGTTACTGACTCAGTCGAGGAGTACTTTGAAAAAATAAACCTGGCAGCTCGCCTTTGTACTCTTTCTAGCATATTAATGAGGCCGATTTCCGAGGGATCCCACACAATGCTGGCATATTCCAATGTTGGTCGAATATACGTAAGATATGCTGCTAGCTTAACGGGAGTCGTAGCAAGTCTTAATTTTCTTCGCAAGTACCATGAATGGTGCAAGGCCAGGGAGCATGCGATTCCTCGCGCTGACAAACTACTTGAATATAAGTGCGATGTGTGTGAAACTCATTTCGACGAAAGATTCATCGTTCGTATATAGCTACAAGCATGTTATCAACGGGTTCTTATCAACTTGTGAAAAAGATGTATTTAAGGAGGCTGGGTTCCTGAGTGAATCAACGCAGAAGGACTTCGCGTCACTCTAACCAGCACCCTTTACATCCGGCACTATGTCTCGAAAATTTTGGGCTATAAATACTTGATGACGTCTCTCCTTTGCCAAGACGCTCTTAAAATGTTTTTTTGGAATTCTGAAGCAAATGACTGGCTCGAATGATCACCCTTCGCCGACACAATTTTTTATCTCTCTGAAATGCCTCAGTTTTTACAGTTTGGCACAGTCACCCTCCTGTGGGAACATGCCTTCTGGAGTTCTGAGCAGCCTAGTTCGGGAACCCACAATAATTCAATAAAACTGCAGAATAAGCTGGGTGAGCTGCTAGATGTGGGGCGCCTCAATGAGGTTTATAAAAATATTGCTGCTTGTGAAGCCCTCCCTGACCACACTGATCTCATTGGATGCAAAAGTGACTCCTGGATCACTCATTACGTGAGTGGCTATGCCACCCGGAAGGTGGGGAAAAAGACGATGTGCAACGAATGTAGCAGGTTGTTGCTTCACTCAGAAGGTTTTATTTTATGTTATTGTGCATTACTCAGACTCTCTTGTTTCTTGTGATATTACTATTGTCTTGTTCACATTGTTATAAATTTCCCATTAAAAAACTGTGATGTCACTGTCTGGCTGTGTTTCACATATGCAGAAATCAACTTTTTCGTGAACTGGTTTGTGACTGTATCTTATTATTTGCCAATGAAATCAAATGCCATGTATGTATGTATGCCCATTGTATGATCGTATATTTACTGTTCTCTTTAGTTGCCTTATTCACTTGCTTTAGCTGAGTTTCATATAACTTGCAGTTTTCTCCAACCTTAATGCATATGTTGTGTTTATTTTTCATGTTGGTTCTCGCTTTCGACAAAAGAAATGTTTTGCTTGTGAAATTAAACCTTGATTGTGCAAGTCATAAAAATAACGGTTGCCGATACTTTTACGTACATTGAGACTTCACGGAAAACACTGCGGCATCAAATTTGAAAAGTGCACGGACTTTGTTTTGGTGTCAAGCTCCCGCCAAGTCACTTGGTTATCTATCTTCTAAGCTTCGTAGCTGATATAGTGCGATGTGGATTGAAAACACTAGTTTTCAGTGCCAATACACGCTTTGCTTCACGCCACCAGAATTGTGACAGTTATATTTTGTTATAATCCGCATGGTAGCGTGAAATATTTGCAACAAAAAACGACTGGTACGCGCGAGCGGGTGCGAGGCGGGGCATCTTGAAAGCGACCGCAGCGCCGCCGCATCCGGATGAATTCTCGCTCGCTCTCCGGCGCGCTGATGCTGTCACCTCTCCTTCTAGCCACCATACGCGCGCCGTGCTGCGTTGCTTTGACGCATGCGCTTT